AATGCAGTATAGAGTAGGTACCTCTTCACAATAAAATAAAGTAGTTCCAATCGTTATCAACATACTTTTCTTAAATTAAAGTCACTAATGAGTGGGAAACGAGTCAAATTATTTGCGTATCATTTTCAAAAAATGCACAACAGTTTCATATACTTTTATTAAGTTTAATAAAAATACAAATAAACGATTTATTTCTTGAAGACTTAAAAACTAAACACAAAAATTTGCTGCTGGAATGGCATCTACTATTGCACATCATCTTATTTTTGAAACAAGTATACCTTTTTGTACTGAACTGGAATTTCGAAGGCACTGGCATTTTGACATCCCTTGCCCAGAAAACGGTGACTATGAAGTGCAGGACTCTCTTAAAGAAATAAAGCATTCCTGGGGTTGGGTTGGGTTGGTTTAAAGAGATATTTGCCTGAAAATATTTTAGCCATATCCTATTTGCCTTAAAGTAGAATTTAGACTGAAATAGCTATTTACCTGAAACCTACCTTATATTAAGCTGTTTACCTGAAACAACCATTTGCCTGCGACATATGTATATATTTCATTGAAAACTATGGATAGCTGTTCGAATTTGTATGCATCAAAACTATTCATTCAAACAAAATTTTTTATATAACGGACACTTTCTTCACCATATTAATCCGTTATATCGAAGTTTTACTGTAATTAAATCTAATTAACAGATTATTCTTTTTAATTTTAAGTTACTGAATCTCTTACATACGACTCAATCCTATCAAATACTGGTATGTTGCAAACTTTAAGTCCTGATGCTCCAAATGAATTTACACGAGTACATCTTTATGCAACGGCAGAAGTACCAGGAGTTGATATAATACCTGATGAAATCAATATAAAACGGATGGATGTTAATAAATGCGTGAAACGAGTATTATTATTAACCAACAAATCTAAAAATCTCCCGATAATTGTTCAATATGTAAAAGCTCCTAATGTTTATTTAGCAAAAGAAATATTCTCCTTGGAACCGAATGAAAAATTGGAAATTTTAATTAATATTCAACCGACTGAAATCGGGTCAGTTGAAATCGAAGTTGTATTTAATTTATTATACTATGATTATAACATGATGAAAACAAAGAATGATTGTAAAGTAATCGGTGAAAGTAAAATGGTTGTTAAGTTAGATGTGATATCTTCAACTAAGTATCCAAAACCGCAACTAAATCCTGGTTTAAAACCGAATTATATTAAAGAAGTCGGAAAACATTGCCAAAACTTGAAATTTAATACCAACATTAGTCTTCACAAAGGAATTACTGTTAATAATAAAGCGGTTATAGATAAAAATTGTAACGATTTGATTGCTTTTCCGAACGATACTCAACAGTCAATACGGCCGTATAGAAATAAGCAATTGTAAATAAAGTTTCTATTTAATTATTTTAATAATCATAATAAATACCAATCATTTTTAGATGTCGAACAATTTTTGCAAGACAAGAAAAATATAAAGCACCATTAGACGAGTATTATGAATTAAGCGAAACTGATATTTGTTTTAAAAAATCCATAAGAGATTATTACATAAATTTTATTCGATCGGAATTTAAAAAGTTAACATCGCCGAATGAGGATGGTGAAAAAAGTACTTATCAAACAACTTTAATGTATAAAGTTTTATGCGAAGATTTAACGGTTTCACAACCACCACCTATTAGAGGTCAAAAATTAGATAAAACTAAATATTATGTGCCACTTATTCCACAGGAAATGGATAACATTATAATTACTCCTCCTGTTGTTCAAACTGGACAGGTAAATATTAGATTAAATAGGTTATTATAAATAGATTATTTTATTAGGTTATATATTTTATGTGGATGGCTCTACTCGTTGTTGAGAAAACGACGGTATCCAGTTTTACCTTACCATCCCGTTTTAACCGACTCTCCCCTACAGGGTATTCAAAAAGATCCCGTACTTCTTGTTGATAGAATTGCGTTGCCTGTCGGCCACGTTATAGACCACACAATATGAACTGAATTTGAATCTTTATTGAATGATTTTTATATGTTATAAGTATTTTCGTACAAAACCACGACCACACCTCAATACATCTTATTGCCATATTACGGTTTTTAACGGTTACATCAAGGTCAACGGTTATGACAGTGTTACCAACATAAAACTTTTTCAAAAAAACCAACTTAAGAAACTAAAACCCTATCACTTCTGTTAGGTACTTCAATAAGCTATAACTACCACACAATTCGATAAAATAGCAATAAATTTGGTATTATTTGCTTCAATACATTTCTTTACTCGTAATCTCATCACAGACGCGTACCAGAGCCCTTTTGAGCGCTTAAACGGTGACGTATTGTACACTATTGTGTTCCTGTTAAAGCAAGACTTTTGCTTTAAGATGGACCAAACGGATTAATCGTATCCGACGAATAGGCGGCCAAACGTTTTTGCCCCAAAAACCAGGAAACAGCTCAAATAACTTCGCAAACGGCGATCGTCGAAATGGCCAAATGTGATGACGATCAAGAATCCCTCTTGACCGAAACATGTTGGTTATTACATATGAAACCTGCCCACAGATAATTATAGAGCTTTAGGAGTGGGTATTTCCCCCAGAACTAGATTAACTAAACAAACCGAGAAAGGGCAATAAAGCAACCCTAAGTCCTACAGAACTATATTTTTAATGCCAGTAATGGGAAAGCTCTTGGGTAAAAGAATTAGGCCTTACTACGAGCAATCCGGTACAGAAACTATTAACCGTAGCGGATTCCTGGGTGGTCGATGTACCGTTGATGCGATCAACGATTTGGGCGAGTTTGTAAGTAAAAATAACCATAAGTATATGTCAAATACTAAATCCTGTTTAGATAAATAATATTGAAGATATCGATAAAATTTCAAAAAGGGGTAAATTTGAAAGCCCTCCATGTTTTGATGAGTTACTTCTTACAATAAACGCTGTCATAAAATTATATACGAAGCAATAGGAAAAGGGTTGTCATTAGCTCCAGACTGGAAAATTAAGCAAAGATAGTTTGGAGAATCAATTTTCTATAGAGACAACGCGTGGGGTATTCAAAAAATCGTTATAACGTTACCAGCTCAAAAATTGTATTAAATGTGGAAGCAACATTGATACAAGAATCACACACCTCTACATCCGAAAGTGCATCCTTGGTAAAAATTAGCGACCGACAGTGAGGAAGAATTTTTAATACAACCAATGTTAGAAAATTATGCTATGATGTATTTCGCCGGCTATACACGGTGTTTCTGTAAGTCGTTACATAATTTTAATCACAAATACTAGCGCAAAAATGATGATGAATTAGATCGACTGCTAACCGCGGCAAACGAATGGTGTATTGCCAACGAATTGTGTTTAAATAAAGACAAAACGGTCCAATCATTGTTCAGTCGTTAGACAAAATTATATAAATTTAAATGAGCTATCCTCTACTAAATTACTGGGGATAACAGTGAGTCCTGCCGACTTGAATTTTGAGGCTCATACGGTGGTTATTGGTAGGAAAATTGCCCGAAACATATTTCTGCTGCGTAGATTGGTGAATTCTGTGTTGGCCGAGCTGGCCAGAACCTCTTATTTCGCGCTCATTCACTCAATTTTGAATTATTGTGTCATTGCTTGGGGTGGTAGTCCAGCTAGTGGCCATATATTTGGCTTGCAGCGCAAGGCGGTGAGGATCATTGCTAAACTTAACTATACAGATGACTGCCGACACGCTTTCAGACAACTTGATATTTTGACACTACCATCTTTGTTTATACTTGAGTGTCTTCTGTACTGTTACGATAATAAAGACAAATACAGCACGCATGCCGACGTGCATAGTTATGGGACCAGAAACCGTGAAAACATTTACGTTGATTTTTGTCGACTGAGTAGAACGCAAAAAAGTCACATATATATTGCACAAATCTTATTTAATAAATTGCCCATGGGCANATGAATTGAGTTATGGATTTTCAGCCGATGAACCAATTCATTGTCTCAATGAAGAGTGTTACATTAATTATATGAAATCGATTTCGCTGTAATGATGAACATTTTTCATGAAATTATAAAGAACTTATTCATGATCTAATGAAACTTTTCATTTGTCGAATGAAAACAAGTCTTTGTCTCAATGAAATGTATTCATTTGCTTAATGAACAATATTCGTTATTTAATGAACAATTTTAATTGTTTAATGAACAATATTTATTATTTAATGAAAATTTTTCATTGTTTAATGAACATATTTCATTGACGTTTTTCATTAATAGAATGAAACAAATCTTTGACTTAATGAATTATTTTTCTTTATTCAATGAATGAATTCATTAATGTAGTAAAATTGTTTCATTGTACCAATGAAGTGGTCTTCATTAATACAATGTAGGTACTACTGTGTTTTCTGATGTACATATATTAGGGAATAACATGTAGTTCCAAAATTTATCCGTTTCTTATTGTTATCATTATAATTACTTGAATGATTACTATGAGAAAAGACCAAAGTTTCAAGACTACATCTATACGAGTCACAAAAAACGCTACTCGACCGTGATAGTTTTTGACAAGGTATAATTTTGTGTGAAATCAACAGAATAATTTATATACAGCCTGATTCAGAGTAAGCGCCTTATTTTTTTTTAGCCACACTATGGGTACTACTTTCAAAATATTTGGCAGTAATATGTTTTAGGACATTCTCTACACGATGGTGATACCACATTTTCAATTGGACGAATTATTTCAAAATGGCGACTGTCAACTTTTTTTTTTTAAATGGAATGCCAAAATTTTTTTTTTATTTTTGAGATCCTAAACACATTCTTTATACGATAGTATTTTGTTTTTTTTTTAAATTCATTTCTTTCCCCATCAAAAAGCACACATTTTAATCTAGTAGCGCGTGAATTTTTTACACTCGATGTTATTTTTGTCCAAATACCAAGTAGCGCTAGACACAAAAGAAACAATTAAACTTTATTTTGTAATAAACATCTACTTATTTATATATTTGGACAAAAATAACATCGATTGTAAAAATTCATGCGCTACTAGATTAAAATGTTAGGTTGATTTTTGATGGGGAAAGAAATGAATTTTTAAGAAAAACAAAATACTGTCGTAAAAAGAATGTTTTTAGGATCTCAATAATAAAAAAAAATGTTGGCATTNAGAAAAAAACAACATTCAAGGTATTAATAGAAAATAAAAACTAGTTAAATGTCTGTTGCTTCCACCAATCCACCGTTCAGTTCGATACATTTATTGTACCTTCTTCTTGCATTCATTGTTACATTCCTCAGTTGCTCTGGGGTAATATCTGCACATGCCTGAACTATTCTAGCACGCAGTTCATCTAGCGACTGTGTCCTTGACCTGTAAACTTTCTGTTTAAGGATTCCCCAAAGAAAAAAGTCGAGTGGTGTCAAATCAGAAGATCTTGGCGGCCATTTAATAAGATGACTATTTCTTCCTATCCATCGATTTTCAAAATTTTCATTTAACCAACGCTTTACCACTACTGCGTTATGCACGGGAGACCCATCTAATTGAAATTTTATATTCGCACATATCAGAGGTGGTAAATTGTTTAGCGCATTCGAAAACTCATTTCTTAAGAAATACAAAAATTTTGTTGAATTTAAATTGCCCTCAAAGAAAAATGGACCAATAATTCTGTTGTCAAGTATTCCGCACCACACATTTATTTTATGCGAATACTGTCGCCTTGCGTTGATGATCCACTCTGGATTTTCTGTGCACCAATACCTTGAATTTTGCGATGACACCACGCCATTTGTTGTAAACGTGTCCTCATCGCTAAACAAAGTTTCCCTTAAAAAGTTTCTGTTTTCCAAGTATTCACCTTGAGCCCATAAACAGAATTCTAGTCTTCTCTCTTCGTCTCTTGGTTCAAGAGTGTTAATTTTTCATCAAGGGAACATTATCAACTATGTCAGGTGTATATTAGTAGGTTATTCTACACTTTTCACTGTTATCCCATCTCTTTTGACAAATATTCTATTAACTTAATGCCAACGATTGTACTCATTGTATTTTTCTTTTTCCATCTTTTCTTTTCTATCTTCTGGTCATTTCAAGGTCCAACGGTAAGACCCCAGCGAGGACTTGCAGGGTGTCCTTGGAAACCGTCCGGTACACGGGAACCATGTTCCTATGGGAATATTCCATAGCAGAGTTTGGAGCCGTCTGATAAAATAAATATTAATCAACCTTGATCACCACACTGAAACCCGCTAGCTCACTATACCTAAAAATAGATTATTACTGCTATAAGAATAGGACAACATTCTTATAGCAGTATTTCCTAATTCCCATTCTGTACGCAGTATTTGTTTTAGTTTTCCATCTATTGTAAGTATTTTTCTTTTCTGTTGCAATAGATATTCAAGATAATTATCTTTCGAATCTATGGTAACTCCCATTCACGGAATTGACTACCAGAATCGGGTTTCTCGTCAAGAGTCTGCTCCAATCATTATAAATAAATCATCAGCGTATGCTGCTAATGCTTTTGTCCCATCGGGATTCGGGGTCTGCACCGCCAGAAGCTCGTTCAAGACCATGTTCCAAAATCTTGGACCTAGTACCGCGCAATGTGGGCAATCCATTTTGAGCTTAAACAGCTCCTCTCCAGTATTGCTTCTAAACACTATTCTCCTGTCCGTAAAGTGATCTAATTGTTTTATATATTCTTGGTGACACAGCTATTTCCGACAGACTCTTTATTGCCGAATGCCACAGCAATATCCCATAGTACTCCTGAAATATACTTATGGTTATTTTTACTTACAAACTCGCCCAAATCGTTGATCGCATCAACGGTACATCGACCACCCTGGAATCCGCTACGTTTAATAGTTTTTGTACCGGATTGCTCGTAGTAAGGCCTAATTCTTTNTACTCCATCTGATCAAATAAATTCATAAAATATTGTATTTTTCAATTATCTGTAACGGTGTTAATTTGTAACCATTTTTGATGAAATTTGGTATATGCCAATTTCAAAAGGTGCTTAATGCCGTGGTGTACTCAGATTTTTTGTAAAAATTTCCTAATATGATTTCTTCATTTTTAACACCTAAAAAGTGAAATAGTAGGCCTTGGTTTTTTTTAAGAAAAATATCACTCTTTGTCCTAAGGTACAGTTTTTACGCTCTACAATTAAAAAAAAATTATCGAAATCGGATAATAAATACAAATTTTACGAGGGTGTTCCGTTTTTAAACGGGTCTCACTGTATATATCGATGGTGTTTTTCCAAAAGGGCGAACGCGCCATTTTGATGTTTTGAGAAAATGACGAAAAACTGTTTGGTACGTTCTTGTAAGAGCAAACTAGTAAGTAATGCATTTAGGACTTCAAGTATTCATTAAATTAATGAAAATCGCTAAAAATTACATAAAACTACAAACAGTTAACTAAAAAACCAATTTTTTTTTCAATATTCGCCCTTTTTCCAGATAGACTTTTTAAAGAAATGACTATTCGCCCTACATTAGTCCTTTTGTTAAAAAATAAAGTCCATTCGCCCAAATCGCTTTAAATGGTGGAATAAAATAAATTAATGGTTTTAAATAACGGAAAAATTAAAAAAAAATATATTTCAAATTAGTATAAAAATATATTCAACTTATTCTACTCGACCATATTTTCATCTTCTTCGTCTGTCTCCATCAACCTATCCTCTACGTTTGGTTTATAAGCCATAGAAGGAAACTCTGAGTGATAACTTGCCGGTATAGTTCCATTTGTGCATAATTTTCGTAAACCTATTCGTAAAACTATTTGCGTTTGCGGAGAAACTTCTTCTAGCTTTATTTTCAGGTAGGAAAATTTTTAATAATGGCAAGCAATTAGTAAAAGATGTGCTGCAAGTGAAATAATCCGGAGTGTGTTTGGTGAAGAAAAACTCTTCTTACCATTCTCATTTCAAGGTTTGTACCGCCCTCCGTTTTAAATACTTTTGGAAAATTATTGTCAGTAAATGACTTAAAATCAAAAAAATCCTTGTGACTCAACGTAAAAACTTCATATGGTCTAGGTTTATGTCTAGCGTTCCTAATAATAGTAGGCCATTCTGATGGAGCAAAAATATTTTTTTTCTTATGTGCTTGTTCGATGGTGCCGTGTACTGAATCAACAGGCATGTATGAGTGTCCCGGCAGCAGAAAATTGAGAGATATTTTTTCTAAATTTAGCGATAATTTAAGAAACCACTGAAGAAAACAAATCATTTAGTGGTTTTTATTCTGCCCTGCACAACTATCGCAATATAGGAGAATCTCTTGTATACCCCCAACCTCATCTACATGACGCAGATATTCATACATAATGCTACATATTTCATTAGCCCCTCGTTTTCCATCAGATTCTCCCCAAAGATAACAATAAACATTTCTTGAAACGCTTTCGTAAAATATTAGATTGTAAACAGCATATTTACTAGAAAAGCCAACAAGAAAACTATCGCACTTCGGAGTACCCAAAACTTTTTGAAGATCAAAACTTGTACACAAGACCTCAGGATTTTCCTGTCCTTTCTTCTGATCCTTAATAAATATTTCCTTTGTTGATTTCGTCTCATTTAAATGTCTTTCATATTCATTTTGTTCATCATTGGTTATTTGATCTTTATCTGTATTTTTGTAGTTCTCACATTTAAGACATTTGTCTTTTTTCGGTACATGAACTACAAAATGACCGTAGAATTCGTATATATAATCTGGTACATAAAAGTCAAAATCACAAATTTGGCGCGTTCGCCCTTTTGGAAAAATACCATCAATATAATTTTTATGAATATGTTGTTAAGGTGCATTTAAATCAGAGCGAACAAATGAGTTCGCAGGTGTTCTTAAGGGTATTTTTCTGCGAAGTTTTTCTTGAAAAATCAGTCCGATATTTCTTAAAATCTTTATTTCTGGATTCCTGAGGTTCTTCACTTAGTTCACCTATGAAACAAAAATTATAGTTTTCTTATTCGTTGTCTACTCAAGTACAATTTACCTAATGGAACTGATGGAAAATGTTGTATATACTCATGCCCAATGAATAATTATTTATTAAAATTACAGTTGGCGAAAATGTAAAAGAGGGGTATGTATCTTAAAACAGTTGTGCTGTCGCTATCCCGTATTTTTCATATTTTTTTAAATCTACCACCCTGTTGCAGAACATTGCCGCTAACAAATTTGAAAACCGTTCAATAATTTCAACATCAATTCCGGTTATTTCTGATGTCAGTTGATGATCTTAAAAAAATCTTCAGGCGGTATTCCCATCATGGGAAATTCCAAAACCTGGCTTGGGTTTGTCTATAATCAGACCAGTCATTTCTTTAAATAATTTTTGGATTTCCTTCTTCCGTACTTCTGGCTGCTTGCTTTCGTCCATTCTGGGAAGGAATTGGTCATAAAAAATTAACGAATAATTAAAATTAAATCTTTTTTTACTTACTTGTAGGCACATAGTAGTAAAAACTGCATGAATTTAATTTTGGCGTGTAATGGCGATATACCAAATCCGAACACAGTTTTGTTAATGGCCTCTTTATTTGGCATTTTATTCAAATCTTTTGGCCCAGCTAAACACACTGGACATCTCTAAAATCATTTAATTTTATTTAACTTACTCACAAAATTATTTCACTACGGTATCGAGAACTTTCTTGCTATACTTACCTACAAGCGTAGTAACACCAAAAAGTGAGGTGAATCCTCTTGTCTTCCAAGTACCATCTCCACAAATCGTCAAATGTATGGGATTATCTTCGGGATTAGATAGCAATATTAATTCTTTTTCTTCTTCAACAACTTTTGAAATAACTATATCATAAACTGCTGATGCTGCAGTATGTAAATTTTCAAGGCAACTGTAGTATGTTGAGATTAACAACCCTTGACAAATATCCATTACACTGCAAAACATATTTAAGCCTTCTCTTCCGACTCTATAAGTCTCATAGCTATTCTCATTAGCGAAATGATTGGATGTATCGTATATAGACACAACTGCATTGTAATACAATTTTGAATCCTAATAAACGAGCAGCAGTTCGTGAAAATCTGATTACTTGCTAACATGTACCGCATAAAACTATCGAAGTAAGTGTTCTAAAAACGGAGAGGAATTCTAAATCACAATAACCGTAATTATTTTCAATAATTTCTTCTTTGGACTACTTCCTCTTTCATCTTTTTTATGTGTAAAATACATAAAAATTAAAAAAAAAAGTAGAAATGTTTTTTTATCAAAGTGTGAGCAGCGTAAGAACGTCTTTGTTTCTTGAAGATAGAAACTAAACTAAGCTGAACTGAACACTCAACACTAGGTTTTCAAAAAAAATGGTGAAGCTTTGTTAATAGATATACCGAGTGACAATTTTTGCCAAGTTACAAATTTCTGTACAATGTCCAGCCATTTATCCAGGATACAAGTTTCAAAAAAGCAATTACGGCAAAAGAAAGATTGTTATTAACCTTTCGCTTCCTTGCGACTTGTGACTTCTATCCTAGCCTTAAATATTTGTTCAAAATTTCAACATCTGCAATATGTTACATCATTCCCGGTGTGCACGGCGATAATTGATACTTTGAAGGAGTATGTGCAGGTAAATTAAATAAAAAATACTTGATTGTTATGAAAAATATATTTAATGTTTATTAATGTTTACGTATGCTTCTAAATATCAATCACGCTTCAAAGTTGGAGACAAAGTTACCTATTTTACCAGTAATAGAATATTCGTTTTCTTCTGTATTTCCTGAGTTTGAAAGTGTAAACTGTGAATATGTTTCTGAATGAGGTTCTACTTGAATAACTGCTGGTGGTGATGATAGAATTTCGGTATTATAAGATAAAAGTTGTTCTAAAACGGGCGAAGCTTGAGGACTACTTGCAGATGTTGACAACTGTAAGGAATTGTAAGAATTGGGACTTGATATATTGGCACTGGGAGTACCACTGAATACTGTCTGAAACTGTAGATTCGAAGGACTTGCAGGTTGCGGGGCTAAAAAGTAGCGAGAGGAGGTTCAAAAATACTAACTGTCTTCAATATCAAAAATGTTTTGAGCTTCGGATTGTTGTCTCGGGAATTCTGAATCGGAAGCAGAGTTTGCCGGGATTAAACTCGTTCGTCGGGTGTTGGTGGCGATGATTGTTGTTTCTGACGATGGTTCTGTGACTTCGTGACTGCCGTAACTAACTTCTTTGGGCCGATTCTGGCTCTTTTATGCCCCGGTGGAACATCAAAACGTGTTCTCCAAATGTTTTTTTGGCAACCAATCCGGGACTACGCGGCGAAAGTGTTTCCGGGAACCCAAGTCCAGGACTGGCGAAAGTTTTTATGGCAATCTTTTGTCTGTCAAAGAATCCGGTTGTTGAATAGTTTTTCGTACTAACTAAGTTGTAAAAAACTTTATTACATGGCTGTTGTTTGCCTGTCAAATGTCTGAGAAAGCCTTTTGTCGGTTATAAATTTTAGACAATTCTGGGCTCCTCGGACTTTGAGGGCTCTTGAGGGAATCCATCTGTTGGGCAGATGTTCGCCACACTAACGTATATTTTATCGCAGTGAAGATAACTGACAGCATCTGAACAGTAATTGTGCCAATTTACAGCTTTTTTGGATGAACGTTAGCTAGGAAACCTGAAAGTTTCTAGTTCTAGGTCTAGTGTTAGTTCTAGTGATAGTGCTAGTGTTAGTTCTAGTTTTAGTTTTACGTTTAGAAACATGTTAAAACTGTTCAAAACGGAAAGATTATTTCATGTTACACCTATTTTATCCGAATCTGGAAGATTTTGAGCGACTTTAGACTCGAATTGTTGAATTGTGTTTTGATGGTTTTAAATCTGGTAACGTTACCAATCTTTGCATTTTAACTTAGTTTGTCGTTGGAAAGAGCAGAAAATTTCCCATAAGACAAATATAGTCTTAGGGTTTTCTCCCCGTTCAAACAAGAAAGTTGTTTACCCCAACATGGTTTAGCCGCGGAGAAAATTCGTGGTTTTAGGTAAANTTCTTCTTTTTTCTTTTTGAGACAAATTATATTCTCTGGAGAGCTCAAAACTGTTGATACGGTTTGAGCTCTTCTCTTAAGTGCCTGTAATTTGTTGACACATGGCACTGGGTGTATTGTGTTCAATAACTTTGAGGGAGTTGCTTTTTCAGTTGAGTCCTTAGGTTCATTTGTACCTTCACCTTCTGAAACAGTTTGAATATCGGGGTTGAGCTCGGGCCAGGAACAGCGAGAGCTTCATTTGTGAAACTGAGTCTAGCAACAGCTGGTTGATCACTTGCTGAGGCATTATTCGTTTTACTAGACTTAGTTGCAGCAGTTATTTGTTCCGGTTGAACTTGTGTCGATTCATTGGTTTCAGTTAGAAACGCGTAGTCAGGGATAGCTTTGGGCTCAAAAGGTAGTATTCCACATGTTCTAAAGCCACTAACGCCATTATCAACGTTTGCAGACTTCCCCCAAGCTAATCTAAGAAGGGTGCCAAATTGCAGTCGAGTTATCTTTCTAGATGGATTATTTATCATGTAGCTGTTACAAGCAGAGTAGTAGTTACTCTTTAAAGACTTGAAGAAAGTTCGATCTAATGGCTGCAGCCAATGACTGGTATGCGGAGGAATACTCATTAAAATAATGTCGTTGTTATCTGCAAACTCAAGCATTTCAATGCAACTAGTGTGTGACGTATGTCCGTCTAGAAGGAGAAGAACCTTTCCCGTTGGTTTTCGTTAAGTGAAATGGTTTTTCAACCAATAAAAAAAAAAGATCTGCATTAACGTATCCAGACTTCTGAGACATTTTCACTTCAGCTCCAGGCAGCATACCATCACAAAATTCTTGCTTCAAATTCTTACCTTTCATAATACAAAAAGGTGGTAAGAATGTTCCCTCTCCATTAACACATGCTAATACTGAAATCGTTTCACCTTTTTCTCCGGAAGTAACAGATGTCACATTCTTGGAACCTTTGATTGCGATAACCTTTCCTGGTTTATTGTTTAACTGCAAACCCGTTTCATCCATGTTAAAAACGTGCCCTAGTTTATCAATTAAGTTGTTTTCTCTTAAAACATTTCCTAAAAGCTGAAAATAATTGTCAACAGTTTCTCTGTTAAGACCTTTTGCCCTCGCGATTGAAACACCCTCCGCTTGACGAATGGAGAGTTGTGGATTTCTAGATAGGAACGATAACAGCCAGTCATATCCTGCTTGTTTGCGTTCAGTGTTAAAGCTGTGTACTAACTTCAGACTTTCGGCCAAATAGTAAGCCATGTATCTAACGGAGTCTCTAGTAGGCGTGAAACCATGTGACTGTAATTTTTTTATGTGTGCGGCGATTTTTTTTTCATTTTCGGTACCAAGGAGTGAAGGTTTCCCCATGGAACCCTTGCTAAAGTTATTTGATTTAAGACGCCTTTTTAGAGTTGTTTTTGGTATGCCGAAAGCTTTAGCAGCAGCATTTACACCAATTTCATTTTGTTTTATCGCTTTAACAGCATTTACTAACGACTCTTCGGACCAGTCTCCTCTTTTTGATGTCCCCTTTCTATTATATTTAGTTGGCATTTTTCTGTAACAATAAAAATACCAACCATTAGAGCCAATTAAACCTTACTATATATTAATATTTTATGTTACAAGACTAGTTTGCAGATATGGTCCATCTATCACATACTTCTTACCTGGTCCATCTATCCCAAATTAACATGGTCCATCTATCCCGATTGTCCAGAATAGATGGACCACCTCCTCGGTCGCGAAAGAGGATCTTGCCGCTTGCCATTTTAGGTTAGTTTTCTACCTGAACACTTGTTTAACTTGTATCTCTGATACTACGACGAAATCACTTAAACTAACTACAAAATACTAAACTCTAGTGAAACATAGAAAAATTATTCAACTTACCAAAAGTCCCCAATCGCTATTTCTCGAGAACTATGAGTATTATTAAAGAGCAAACTTTAACACAAACAGACAACACACAGAAGCACTACTCGAGACGCTGACTGTGGCGCTGCACTGGCTAGTTTCCGAACTATTCAAGTGGTCCGTCTATCCGGGTGGTCCATCTATCCCGGACTTACCCTATAAATTTTAGACAATTCTGGGCTCCTCGGACTTTGAGGGCTCTTGAGGGAATCCATCTGTTGGGCAGATGTTCGCCACATAGGTGCATAATATTTTCCATATCCGCATCAAAAATAATGTTGTTTATTAAATGTTGCACTAATTTCGAACACCGATCTGAATAGCTGTTCAGTTTGCTTGCCACATATTGCCCAGATATATCATTGTTGTTTTTGGCAGGTTTTTTGGCCACAGATTGTTTTAATATTTCGTAATCCCCATCGATTCTAGTATCATACCTTGCTTTTTTTCCTTTTTATTTGGGTGTTTTCGTAATATTAGTATTCGTACTGGTTTCCTGGTCCTCTCTTTCGGTGGTCAGAATCCTGATTGGTAGTGGAAATATCTTCAGTTTCGTTTTTGTTTTTTATTATTTAAAATTTACAACATCGGATCGAGTCCCGTGGCAGGAACATAAATAAATAATATACACAAATAATTGTAAAATTTATATACAAAAATAAATCTGATTTTCACTATTTTTAGTAGTTACCCTGACTTGCTTGCCTCATTAGTGTCTTGGGTCTCCCTAGGTTGAAGTTTATCAATTAAAAACAAGAGTTTTAAAAGCATACCACGTAGAGTGATAAATTCCAATTCCACTGCCTGACTTTTTTGAAGTACCTTCTTTTTGTCTTTTAAATATCGTTCCAACAAAACGGACAAATGGAAAAGTAAGTTATCTTCAAATTTTTAATCAAAAATAAATATATTAAATACATTACGGTGAAATATAAAAATTAAAAATACAACAAAAAACATATTCAAAAAATAATAAATACTATTATAAAATAAATAAACACGCTAATCTATTTTTTTTTCTAACGTTGCAACTCCTCTTCATTAATTATTTTTCCATCATTACAAAAGTTATTTGAAATAGTTGCAATTACCTGTTTGTTTTGATCTTGTAATTCTTTCTGAACTTCCCTATAAGGTGCTAAAGAATTTTGTAATTCTTTCTTAAATTTTCCGCTACGTACTACTGAAGGATCTTTTTCAACAAAAAAGTCTTCTAATTTATTAGCTAAAGCTATTCCTTTTTGCAGATCAATTACATTTAAATCAGCAACGGATGCAATATCCCAATTCTTTTCAGTATCATCGGCGTAATTAGAAGTGGGGATATTTACTAACACAATTAGTTGTTCCTCATTAAAAGCTTGTTCTTCAAATAGGTCCTGAACATCATCAATGTTTATATCTGACGATTCGCCCCCTTCTAAACTGATTTATCGGTTTAGATCTGTTATAACTCATTACAAGATAAATCTACAGTTGTAATACAATTTAAAATGGAAAGCTCTTTTCAAGCTTGAGTAACCATCATGCTTTTCTGTAACCAGCCTTTAAGTGCGTCTTTTTGTTCCCAGTTGTTCTGATACTTTTGTACATACAACTTCTTTCTTCTTTTATTCTTCTGCAAATACGATGACTCATCCGAAGAAGACGGTGGTGAAGATGCATCAGGTTCATCAACTTTTTTTGAGGTTGAAGGCATACAAGCCATTTCAGTGTTCTTGGAAAATAAATAAAGGTATACAAACGCGATTTACAGTGGTGTTTAGTAGGAAGGAGGAGATTCAAAAGTGGGGTGGCAGCAAGTTTTATTACTCAATTTTCTTTGTATTTGAAGGGAGAGAAAAAAGTATTTAGATGTATAAAATTTTTTATTTAACATTATTCTATATTTGATTGCAAAATGATAAATCATTGTCCTAATTCTAACACAGCATTATTCAAAATAAAAAAAAAGCGCTAAAGTTCTTTATTTAAAAATTTCTAAAATTTATTTAAGGCGTCACAATTGATTGTCAATTTTAAACCTAATTCTAGCGCAGACCATTATTCCACAGGTCTTAATCTATAATGGCCCCAGGCTAATGTGCACCGATTATTATCTCTACATATGTGTCCTTTGGTATCATGCGATGAAAAGGCAAATTTATTTTGGGTAATTCTGTACACATCATGATTGTAGGATCGGAAGAGGACCTGTTTTACCAACAACTTAGAATTTAGTGACAGGCAGTTTTCAAAATCGCGGAGTGTTATCCTTTTCTTAACCACCGACTTCTTTATCCCTTTTGATTTTTTCATTATACCCCCACCATTAACCCGTATTGAATACATTTTCGACCCTAACCCGATAAACTTTTCCATCACTCTACCACCGTTCTCGTCTTTCATAAGACCGGGGATGCCATACTCATTATCCAAGCTATAATTGGATGTATCGAATCGGTCTAAATGATTTTTAATGTCCGAATATATGTCCTCTGTATTTATGGAGACGATGAAACTATCAGTGTCCATATAACACAATTCGACATTTTCTGCATATTTGGGCTTTAAAAAATCATAAAAAAATTCATACATGCATAACTTGGATATACAGGGTGGGGCAGAAAAACCTATCCGATTTCAAAACGTTATAAAATTTAAACCACTCAACTTGACAAAAATTTTTTTTTATTAACATATCGCAAATTTTATGCCATTTTCAAATTTAAGTTTTGAAAAGCACATCACTTAAATGTCGTCCTTGGGAGCGGATACACTGATTTAGGCGGTCGCGGTAGCTTTCCATGACTTTCACCGTCATTTCCACAGGAATTTCTTCAATTGCCCGAGCAATTTCCCTTCGTAAAGCAAGAAGCGTCCTTGGTCGATGCTGGAATACCTTCGATTTGAGGTAACCCCAAAGGAAGAAGTCACATGGATTGAGATCCGGTGAGCGCGGCGGCCAGCCAAGATCACCTCTCAGAGAAATGAGGCGTCCGGGAAACATTTCCCTGAGAATGTCCATTGATCGTCGCGATGTGTGGGCGGTTGCACCATCCTGTTGAAACCACACATTTTCCACGCCAATTTCTTCCATTTTGGGTCGAAGAAAATTTTCCAGCATGAAACAATAGCGCTCGCTGTTGACCGTTACGGTTTGCCCATTCTCTTCAAAAAAGTAAGGCCCCCAGACGCCTAGGCGGGAAAGAGCACACCACACAGTCACTTTTGGGCTATGGAGGGGTTCCTGATGGATTTCCCGAGGATTTTCGTCACTCCAATATCGAAAATTTTGCCTGTTTACGGCGCCACAAAGGTGAAAATGGGCTTCGTCCGTGAAGAGCACAACATCGTCGTTTGGGAGTTCTCGGAGATCGCGACAAAGGTTCGTACGGGTTTCAAAATCCCTTTCACTTAGTTCCTGTGCAACAACCATTTTGTAGGGATGCATTTTGAGGTCCCGGTGCAAAATTCGCCGAATACTGCGGTTGGAAATCGCCAAAGCGAGCGAATGTTTTCGCGCCGAACGACGCGGGGAATGTTCAATCGCGGCTCGCACATTGGCCACGTTTTCAGGTCCTGTTGCTGTCCTGGGACNGTATGTACCTCGCTTATCCAATGAGGATTTTCGTTACTCCAGTATCTGCAATTTTGTCGGTTTACTGTGCCATTCAGGCAAAATGTAGCTTCATCCGAAAATAAAACGTTGTAAATAAAGAGTGGATTACGGTCACATCGATTCTGCATAATTTCACAGAATTCCATGCGGCGATCTGTGTCATCTTCATTGAGTTCTTGCACTAACTGCACTTTGTAGGGATGGTACCTCTCTGCTCGTAGCACACGTAGTACAGATCGCTGAGAAACTTGATGATCCGCTGCAATTTGTCTCGAATTACTATGGGGATCATCTTCAACAGCTAACAAAATATTAAGTTTCACATTTTCGTTGATTTTAGGACGTCCAGCATGTGCAATGTGCTTAACATGTTCAGTTTCTCTAAATTTCTTGTCAATTTTGCTAACTGTTGATCTACTAATAACTCTGTCAGGGTACTTTACATTAAACAAATTGCATACCTCTTGTTGTGTTCGGGTTTTATCTCCACATCCAATAAGAATTAAAATTTCTATGCGTTCGGTTTCACTTAAATGAGCCATAATTATTATAACATAAATACGTAACAACAAATGCTCAAAAATAAAAACAAAACAGTAACAAATATTGAACAAAACTGGACAAATGAACACAGAACACGGCAACAAATAACAATCTCAATCAGAATATAACGCAAAAGAACTAACACAAAACTACACAACATAAAACAGAAAAAAAATACTAACAAACAATTACAACACAGAAAACAATGTAAAAATACAGGAATTAATCGCTATAAAAATTGTTTCAATTCAATTAAACACTCACAAAACTAATTTTGACGTTTTGGAATAGACATTATTAAACCAAACAAAGCGTTTCCATGGTTACTCATGGATGCTATTTTTACATTCAGAAAAAAAATAATAAAATTGTAACCCATATCGATATTGACATCGTTGGTCGCAGAAAAATATACTTTCAGATTCTGTAAACAAATGCATATAACTCATAAAAAATGATTATCAGGAAGTGAATATGTTCCATAATTTTGCCGCGCTCTGTATACATATGATAGTATATATTCCAACAGCACTTTTACATTATCCTGTAAACCAACTGGTAGTGCATATCAGAATGATGAAAGAATTGGTGATTATACGTTAAGGGCGAATATAAAATTAGCTGATATTGTTTTCGGCGCTATTGACCAAACAATAGAGTTTAAACTTTCGTTTGCATTCTGGGTAAATCCTCCGAGACAACGAGAAAGA